TCTGTTCAGTTCCTGGCAAGAACCAACGCAGACGTGTTCCTGTTTTTAGTTTCTACACCGCCTCGTAATCTAGATGTTTTTTTTAGATACCATTTTATTTTCACTTGTTATTCTCAATTTGGACACATCCTTTATGATTGTCTACTGTTGTCATCACTCGTTAAGAAATCAGGTCTCTCTTGTAAATGAGTCCTCGAGGCGCAACGGGATTAACCTGTAGAAATAAAGGTCGAATTAATTTGTCGTGTGCAGATTAACACAAGGTCAACAATGCAATGAAGAGCTCAGGATGAGAAGAACTGACCTGACTCGCTAAAAACAAGAAATACTAAAGCATGCAGTACCAAAAAGTGAAAAAGAAATATAATATACTATACTATACACACATCATGTGTGTGTGTGAGATAAACACTGTTTAATTTAAAGTGTTTAAAAACGCACCTGCTGCATTCGAAAAATTAAATAATGAAATCTGTGACTCTCAGAGCCATGAGAGAATTCAGAGCACAAGCTGACCTTGAATAGTGTTTCACACCAAGCAGTTAAAGAGCATCATAATAAACCACCTGATGCCTGTGCCCACCCCCCCACCCCCCAAGGATTGATGTTGGAGTAAAAATCCACATGAAGATATAATAAAGTGTCCAGAGCCAGTTTTATTTATCTGCCAACCTTCCCTCCATGCACAATATGAGACGTCTCTCTGCAGTGTTGGGCTTATCTCACAGGAGATAACACAGGTGTGTGTGTGTGTGTGTGTGTGTGTGTGTGTGTGTGAGAGAGAGAGAGAGAGAGAGAGAGAGAGAGCTACAGAGAAATAGAAGATTATTACAAGCCAAACAAAGGCAATAAGCTGTGGCAGCAAAACTAATTTAAAAAGTAGGAGAAATAAATAAAAGGCCAGGTGAGTGGGGTGGGGGTGGGGGGGCATGGAAAACAAAAGCTGTGACAGCAAAAGAAGATGGAGAAAAGGAGACAGGAAAACAGAAGAGAAAGGAGAGAAAAGCTGATGTCAGCATTCCCTTCAGCTTCTTTCACGCTGGAGAGGAGCTGCACCGGCGGCTGCTTCCTTCATTCTGCAGATCGAACTCTTTAAAACGAAAAGAAATGGGAACTGATGAGGCGCCGTGATGAAACTGAAGCAGCACACGGCAGAGATGACTCACAGGCAGCCAGGACTTTTCCGGCGTTGCCGAAACAAGGCGGAAGGCAAGCAGCAGGTGCAGCAGATGGGAGAACCTGCCTCTTTCTTTTCTTCTCAAACCATCAGTTTGAATTAGGATCAAAAACCGGGTTTGGAATCTGCTAAAGGCGTTTAAAAATAACTCAACAGTAACAAACGCTGATGGTCGACTGAGTCATAATTGTTGGTTGGTGGAGACGTTTGCAGAACAAACTAAAACAAGCAGCAGAACATACATGACGTGAACTGAGGTCGTTCTGTTCTGCGAGGGAGGATGGTAAAAATGAACAGGTGTGCTGATTACTGATGAAAGACAGGTGGTGAGTGAGGAGCTGACAGCTGGCACTGTTAAGGACATGATTTAGTTTTTTGTCAAGTCAAATCTATTTATGAAGCACATTTATAAACTGCGGCTGTGACTAAAGTGCTTAACAGAAAAACAACAACAGTTGCAGTAATTAAAAAATTAATGAAAACAATTAAAAGCATCAAAAGAACAACATAAAAACACAAAACATCAAAATAGTCAATCAAGTCACACTGTGTTAAAAGTCAGTGAACACAGGTGCGTTTTTTAAAAAGATTTAAAAACAGGAAGTGAAGTGGTCTGTCTAATGTTGGGGGGCAGATGGTTTCAGAGTTTAGGGCCCACGACTCCGAGCTTCAACCAGAAGCAGCTGATCAGCTGATCTCAGGGCACGAGAAGGAACATCTGGTTGAAGTAGGTCAGACAGATGAGGGTGCAACAAGAAAATGAATGCACTTAAAGGTCGGCAGGAAAATGGGACTGAATCCCGGCTGGGACCTTTCTGGAGTTTGCATGTTCTGTCGGTGCTGCGTGGGTTTTCTCCGGGTACTCCAGTTTCCTCCCACAGACCTAAAACATGCATGTTAGGCTGACTGGTGACTCTGAACTGTCTCCAGGTGAGAGAGAGAGTTAATGGTTGTTTGTCTTGTTTGTCTCTATGTGTCCCTGTGATGGACTGGAGACCTGTCCAGGTGTCCCCCGCCTCTCACACAGTGACTGCTGGATATGGACACCAGTGACCCCATGACCCGAAAAGGAAGAAGCGAGTAAAGATGATGGATAGATAGATAGACGGATGGACAGATGGATGGATTGATGTTGAAACATCTTGACAGGGACAAACAAACAAAAGTGTCCTTACTCTTGTGACCCCCACGTTCAGTTCTTCGGGCCCCAGGGAGACTCTGATGAAGCAGCCAGGAAAGTCGCCCTCTTCCTTCTCCAGCAGGTCTTTGCCCTGGTGCAGCGTGATGTGGAGCAGCTGCCGCGGCGACTCAAACTCCAGCGTCGCTTCCAGTTGGCCGACGGTGAAGTCGTGGCCGAAGTTGTTAGCGACGGAGGAGATGGAGCTGAGCGAGTCCGTGGAGACGGAGCGGTGGAGCTGAGCCATGCCGGTTGGGTCCAGCTCTCTGCTCATCAGCTCCAGGTGGCCGAGTTCCCTGAAGCCGTCGGGGGTGTCACCGAGGGCCAAGCTGGGCTTGCGGCTGGATGTGGTGGAGGTGCGCCGGTGGTTGTTGGCGGCCGCTCTCTTCAGGGAGGAAATAACAGGAGAGAATGATCACAAACGACCTGTTCTCCATCGAGCCAGTCACACGGTCTGTTCGGTGACGTGCAGGATGATGGTTCATCATTTGCATCATTCCGAACATCAAGGCGAAATACTAGACTGGGTCTTTAGTAGCGTTTGTACAAAATATTTTCAAAAATTGTTGGTGGTTGAGGCCATTTGAAACATCTTACGTCAAACTTTATTTCCATGATTTCATTTTATTAGTTAGTTGAGTTGACTGCTACACGACGACTTCACTGAGAAGCTCTTTGCTGTAATAAGAATAACATTTAACTCGCCGTCTTAACATTCACCATTTGAGCGCTTCAACGAGGAACTGGCACCATCACCAACTAAACTAATATAGGCAACATGTTCGGTAAATGTTGATTTTTTATGTTTATATAGATTTTTTTGAGTTATTAAATGTGTTCAAATTATAGCCCAAACTGCAAAATAACAAAAATAATGAATCGCACATAAGAAGCAGGTAGAGTTGGTTCAACGACAATAAAAAAAATTAAAACAGTGCAACAATGTGCAAATGTCATAAACCTACATTTTATCAACAATTCAACAAAGTAAACGTTTCAAATGTTCAAAGTAAGAAACTGTAAAATAAAATAAAAAACATGAGGTAATTTTAAATCTTATGGCAGCAACACATCTTCAAAAAACTGGGACTTGGTCAACAAAAGCTGTAAATTGATTGAAAGTAGTTCATCAGACGAACGAGCATTTTGCAAATAATTATCTTAATTTGCAAAACCTGAGTGAAGCCCCCCCCCCCCCCCCCCCCCCCCCCATCACCTTCTACAAATCTAAAGAATTTGGTGTCAAACTTTTGTGCTGGTTTGTGCAGCAAAAACTTTCATTTGTGCCGCTATCATTTTAAAGATAATAATAAATGTTTCCAGAGGTCATGAAAGGTCAACACCACCGCGCCTCACTCACACACACACACATTACTCAAATCTAACAAAATTGGGGTCAAACGTTCGTGCTGGTTTGTGCAGTAATTTTTTTTGTTTGTGCCGCTATCATTTTAAAGATATTAATAAAAACGTTTCCAGAGGTCATCAAAGGTCAACGAAAATCTGTTCATGCTGAAACTGTGAATTTAATTTTGTAAGATGGTTCAGGGTCAGGGGAGGGCAGGGGGGGCTGGTTGACCTCTTTACCTTTAAACTTTCAGTAATGTGTTCAAAGCAAAAGCAGCACAAACGTAGAAGAGTTTACTGACGCCAGTCTTTTTAGATTTTGTAAATGGGGAGGGCTGGTTGACCTTTGATGACCTTTGGAAACTTTTTTATTAATATCTTTAAAATGATAGTGGCACAAACGAAAATGTTTGCCCCCACAAACCATCACAAATGTTTTGACACAAAATTCATTAGATTTGAAGAAGGAGGGGGGGGGGGGGCAACTTCATGCAGGTGATAGCAATAGGTCACTAATGAGGACCGGGTGTGAAGAGGACTTGCACAACATCATAAGCTTGTTGACAAACAGCAGAACAGGAATTTATAGCAATGACTCGGACATGCAAAGACCCTGTTTAACATTTGACCTTGATTTGTGACCTTGATCTTAGAGCTGAGGATGAAAAGTGTGACACTTTGTCTAGTGATGACACAAATGTGCATCAAGTTTCTTTTCTTAAGCGGATCAGGAGTTATGGTCTGGACAAGAGAACGTTTACTGACGGACAGATGGAGACTATACCATAAAGAAATTTAAAAGCGATGTCTAAACATAGTGGATGAATTTCAAAATAATGTTTAACATAACATTAATCCTGATGCCATCATCAGGTCGAAATGATCTGGAGAAATCTCTGAGCTACAACGCTCGGCACTGGATCCCTGTGATCTCCATGCCCTCTAGCAGCTCTGCAATGAAAACATCTGACTCTGTTCCGGACATCAGCTGGTTGAAGCTCTATCATGTGAAGACGGTGCCAGATGTGAATTCCACCAAAGGTCATTTAGGTAAAACGGAGAAGACGAGCCAGAACAGCTCAAATCCTGCAGCCGACGAGGACGGAACAAGAATTCTCTTGAAAACTCCAGCAGCTGCTTTCAGTTCCATTTACAGACTGTTAGGAGAAAAAGGGACGCATGACCCTGTCCCATCTTTTCTGAGATATTTAGCAAAAGTCAACTTCCAAATTATTATTATTATTTTTTAATAAATTGTACATTTTCTTAGTTTAAACATCCTAAACAAACTGTTTGCCCTTAAAGATCACTTCCAGCTGCAGAGGGTGTGTACACGAACCTTCTGTCTGACTTCTGAGAAGGAAGTTCCATACTTTTCTTGCAGGTATCGATAGTCGAAGTTAGGGAAGGGGGACGGCGCGGGGAAAGTTCCAGATTTCCACAGCTTCCAGATGTTCAGTCCGGCGGCACCCAGCAGCAGGAGGAAGCCCACCAGGTAGATCCCCACCTCCCAGCCCGGTGGGTTACGCACCACTGGATGAGATACACATTTCATAAACATAAAACATTCATTTCATGAACAGGAGCTTCAGAAATGTCTGAAATTAGGAAGGAGAAGATTTCTTGTGCCTCATGCAGATATCTGAGCACAGAAGAAGACAGAAAACTCACCACTTAAATGGTAGCTTGATATGTCCTCACCTCCAGCTGAGGACATGGTGCTGCAGCGGCCTGC